AATTTATAAAAAATTAAATTGTTCTTTAAATTGTTGTACTAATATTTTTATTATTAATTTACTTAAGGATAAAACCAGAGTTACAGTATTACTTACTACAAATATTATAGGAATACACAAGTTGAAACCATTGGTAATTGGCCATAATAAAAATCCTTGATGTTTCAAACATATCAATATTACAAGTTTACCAGTAATGTACAAATATAACAGCAAAACATAGATGCATAATGATATTTGAAAATCATGGTTAAAATATTATGATAAAAGATTTCAAATTTAAAATTGCCAGGTTCTTTTGTTAGTAGATAATGTACTTTTCCATACTAGTCCTGTAGAAAATAATTCTAGTGAAAATGACTTAGATTCAAATTTAATTTCAGAATTCTCAAATAATAAATGAAAAAAAACATCAAAAAAAAATAAGTAACAATCTAAAGATAATGAATCTTTTACTTTAACCAATATTACAATTCATTATCTTCTCCCCAATACAATATCTCATATTTAACCATTAGATGTAGGAATTATTAAAAGTTTTAAAGAAAAATATAAACATTATTTCTGTAAACATGTATTAAATTAATATGAAGAAAATATTGATTATAAAAAGTAAGTAATTTTTTATAAATTAATTTATTTAATATTTCTGGCACTTACATTTGTATCAATTTAGAAATAAAATTAATATATTATAAGCAATTGAATATATTTTTTGTTTATGGGATGATGTTACAGTAATGACAATACAAAATTGTTGGTGCAAAATTAGAATTTTATCAAATTTAGAATATAATTAATATAATATAATAACAATGAATCAAGAGTATATCGATGAAACTATTGATTTAACAAATTTTATAAAAATTAATCTCAAGAAAATATAACTTATCAAAAATTAATTACTAAAATAGAAACTTATATTAATGCTATTGATGAACTTTTTGTAACTGAAGATGTTCTTTCTGAATCTGAAATAGTTACTATGATACTTGCAGATAATAAAATTGAAAATAATACTTCTTCAGATCTCGAAAAAAAAGAAGAAAAGTTACCTCCACCTTGTATTACTTCAATTGATACATTAAATATATTAAAAATATTAATTAGATATGAAGAACAGTTTTCTGATAATGAAACAATCTCACAAGATAAATTGTGCAAAAGATTATCACTATACAAGAAAATGTGTAAAAAAAATAAAAAGCAAGTTTCTCTTGAGAATATATAAATAAATTAATTAAAAAAATTTATATTTCTTTTATTAAATAGTAAATAATATAATAAATATATAATATAATAAATATAAAATACAATAATAATATATTTTCACTGGTCAAAATCTGGCATATCATGCACTTATCATGCACCAATCATGGTGCCCGATAGGTACCCGATATACA